GTTTGGAAGCACGCTCTGCGGTTTCTTCCGCCCGGGCTGAGGCACCAGTACTGCAACTATCGTTATATAGTTATAAAAACTAGGAGATAAAAATAGCAGTATTGACGAGGGAGATGTGGAGGACTCGCCACCTAACACTCCCGAAAGCGAAGAGCTCATGGAGGTTCTCACTCGAGCTGTATTAAAACTAAGCATTGAGTGGCCAGTGGCTAGGCAGGAGTCTGTTATTAAATCTAAGTTAGATGAAAGATTTCTCCCTTCCCGTGTGCAACCTCCATGCCGGTGCTTGTCGTTTTTTTTCATGATCTCCATACTGAGGTGTCGAGATTATGGAAGAAGCAGGCTTCTGATATAATTTTAGCCCCCAATCATTCACATATTCAGATTTAACGGGGGCTAGGTTTTTGAAAAGAAAAGACGGCGCTTTGCCGCGGGTAGAAGAGACGCTTGCGAGCTATCTCTCTTCCGAGGCTGCATTGTCATTTAAAGCACCGGCATTACCTTCCAAGCCATTATGAAATATTTCGGCTTTGTAAAGTGTATTTGGCGGCAGGTCAGGCTGCGTCGTGTCTGCATACAATGTCTATATTGCAGGCATACCAGGCTGATTTGCTAAAGGACGTGAGTGAGGAGGCAGTACTGACGTGGTTCGAGAACTGCGTCAGGCTGCCGATTTGTGGTAAAATGATTTTTTTTCCAACATGAAACAGAAAGAGAAAGCTTTCTTTTAAATGATCCTCTCTCCCCTGCGGGGTTATTCAGTGACTTAGTTAATACTGTCATTGATAATTTCAGGAAGAAAAGAAGCAGGCAGCAGCTTTTAAAAGGTTTCTTCCATTAAAAGTTCACGTCCACGGGGCTGCTGGGCGGGAGCAGCCCCGGCCGTCCACGAGCTCATCGCATAGGCGCAGCAAAGCAGAGTATCGCGTCTCGCGCTCCCCCTGCTGGACAGTGGGACCAGACGCGGCACTCTCAGCCAAAGCTTTTTGAAAAATAAATATAATATAATATAATATATATATATATATATATATATAAAGCAATAGAACTGATTTGAGGACAGTTATATTGGCTATGCTGAGGGCGGTCCCCACCGAGGGAGAAAGGTGTTCACCTCTTTTTACGGTGCCCATTCTTCCTCGGTGCCCTCAGGGGCCCGTTCTGCCAACCCCGCCTTCATGCCGGGGCGCAGACGGTCCCGGCGAGCGCTTTCGCGAGGGACGCTCGCCGCCTCTGACACTGAGGGTGGTCCCCATCGAGGGAGAAAGGTGTTCACCTCTTTTTACGGTGCCCATTCTTCCTCGGTGCCCTCAGGGGCCCGTTCTGCCAACCCCGCCTTCATGCCGGGGCGCAGACGGTCCCGGCGAGCGCTTTCCCGAGGGACGCTCGCCGCCTCTGACACTGAGGGTGGTCCCCATCGAGGGAGAAAGGTGTTCACCTCTTTTTACGGTGCCCATTCTTCCTCAGTGCCCTCAGGGGCCCGTTCTGCCAACCCCGCCTTCATGCCGGGGCGTAGACGGTCCCAGCGAGTGCTTTCCCGAGGGACGCTCGCTCCCTCTGAGGAGGGTCTCAGAGCGGTCAAACCAGTTGTTCCCTGCCAGTGCGCCGTTACAGGGCGCTGTGTTTGCTGCTCAAATTACACCAGAGACCAGTCTCGAGAGACTGGTACCCTTAGTAGAATTTGTTTGGCAGAGTGGAAAAGCCTTCCAAGAATATCTCAGCGGGTCCTGCAGACAGTAGTAAGAGGTTATGCGATCCAATTTAGGTGTCGTCCACCGAAACTCAGAGGGGTTCTGCCCATAGTGTGGGCCCCGAGCAGGCTCTGGTAATGGAACAAGAGGTGAAAACGCACCTTCAAAAGGGGGCTATAGAACGGGTTCCTCCTCCCAGTTTGGAGCTAGGTTATTACAGCCGATATTTCATCGTTCCAAAGTAGGATGGGGGGTTGCGTCCAATTTTAGATTTGCGCCTATAAAATCGCTCGGTAGGGAAGCTCAATTCAAGATGCTCACTATCAAGCAGGTCATGTCACAAATCAGGTCCGAGGGCTGGTTTGTCACGATAGATCTAAAGGACGCTTACTTCCACATTTCCATACTTCCACAACACAGGAAGTTCCTGAGGTTTGCCTTCGGGGGCGAGGCATTCCAATATAGGGTTCTTCCGTTCGGTCTAGCTATCTCCCCGTACTTTACGGAGCAGATGGCGGTTCGACATCGAGATGTCGTCCTCGCGCATATCAGGAAGTTGGGGTTGAGGCTGAACGCGAAGAAAAGTGTTTATCTCCTTCCCTGGAGACCACTTTTCTGGGCGTTGTTTGGGATTAGGTCACCCGCATCGCTTCGATTCTTCAGCCTTGAAACAGTAAAGCTAGGCCAGCTACTCACTGTAAAGCAGTTTCAGAAACTGTTGGGTTTGATGGCAGCAGTGTCCAACGTTATACCTTGGCCTGTTGTACATGAGACCGCTGCGGTGGTGGCTCAGGACCAAGGGATTCTCCCCGAGGGGAAATCCACTCCACACGATCAAAGTCACGCGGCGCTGCCTTCGTGCTCTGGTCTTATGGAAAGAAACTTGGTTCCTATCCAAAGATCCTGTGCTGGGGGCTCTTTGTCGTCACATAAAGCTAACGACGGATGCTTCCCTCACAGGGTGGGGGGCGGTCATGAGTGGTCGTCCAGCCCAAGGTCTGTGGCAGGACCATCATCTATCATGGCATATAAATTGTCTAGAGATGTTGGCAGTGTTTCAGGCTCTGAAACACTTCCTGGCAGACCTGAGAGGTCATCATGTGCTAGTTCAGTCAAACAACACGTCGGTGGTCTCTTATATAAATCGTCAGGGGGGCCTGCGGTCTCGCCGGCTTTACGAGTTGGCCCGTCAGGTCCTCCTGTGGTCCCTAGGGAAGTTACTATCACTAGCAATGTATCTTCCTGGGTATTTGAATGTGGTAGCGGACTCTCTGTCGAGGCAGGGGCCGAGGCCGGGGGAATGGAGACTCCACCCCCGAGGTGGTGGAGCTCCTTTGGTTGAGTTTCGGTCGCGCCGAGGCAGACCTATTCGCTTCCAAGGAGATATCGCACTGTCGTCTGTGGTTCTCCATCAGTCATCCAGCCCCTCTGGGGTTGGACGCTATGGTGCAGCCGTGGCCGAGGTCACGTCTGTACGCTTTCCCCCCGATTGCTCTGCTATCAGGAGTTCTGGAGTGGGTTCGCCGGGACGGGGTCAGCCTACTATTAGTAGCCCCGTTCTGGCCGGCCAGAGTATGGTTTGCGGACCTGGTTTCTCTCCTGGACGGCTCTCCTTTGGAGCTCCCGGTCAGGAGGGATCTACTCTCTCAGGCGGGCGGCATGATATTTCACCCCCGCCCAGAGTTATGGAAACTGTGGGCTTGGCCTCTGAGGGGGCCCAGCTCTTAGATTCCGGTCTCTCAACCGAGGTTGTTGAGACCATCCTTCACTCCAGAGCTCCATCCACGAGGAAGCTATATGCCTTTGAAGTGAAAACTTTTCACTTCTTGGTATGGAGAACACCTGTAGGACCCAGTTAACTGCCCAGTGGGTGCAGTGCTGGAATTCCTGCAGGAGCGTTTCTCCACAGGGTTATCCCCCTCCACACTAAAGGTGTATGTGGCGGCACTGGCTGCTTACCACGTCCCTTTCAGTGGAGTTTCTCTTGGGAGACACCCGCTTATAACTCGTTTCCTTCGTGGCACTTTGAGGCTGCGGCCAGCAGTTCGTGCCTGGAATTTTCGCCTGGTATGGTTAAGGCTTTTCTATACCCTAGGCCAGGTTATGTTCCTAAGGTCCCTACTAATGTTGTTAGACCTACAGTTCTGCAGGCTTTCTGTCCTCCTCCATTTCTGTCGTCAGACCAGGAGAAACTTAATTTGCTCTGCCCAGTGAGGGCGTTAGACGCTTATGTCCACAGAGCTGCCCTGTGGAGGAAATCAGAACATTTATTTGTATGTTTCGGGCCACCCAGGAAAGGGTGTCCTGCGTCTAAATAGAGAATGAGCAAGTGGGTGGTCGAGGCTATCTCACTTGCTTATGAGTCGGCTGGTCAGCCTTCACCTTTGGCTGTACGAGCCCGTTCTACTAGGAGTATGGCTGCATCCAAAGCTTTATTGTCAGGAGTTTCCCTGAGTGAGGTTTGTGATGCGACTGGATGGTCTTCACCGTGCAGGTGCTCTCGTCCGCTGTGCGCTAGATCTCACATGACGGTCACTTGCTCCTATGGCGACGTGGGTATTCGCGTTCCCACAGCGTTTGACGCAGCTCGAAGTTCCCTTGAAAGGGAACGTCTCGGTTACGTATGTAACCCTAGTTCCCTGATAGGGAACGAGACGCTGCGTCGTTCTGCCATACTCCCGGCATTCCCGTTAAGCGCTCCTTCAGGCCTATCAGAAGCTGATGCGCTTGTGTTTTTGGGGTGCTTTATAGTTTCCTGGTCGATGACGTCACCCGCCTATGACGTTCCGTCTCTCCATTGGGCTGATTCCATACGTGCTTCATGACGCACAACGCAGGGGCGTTCCCACAGCGTTTGACGCAGCGTCTCGTTCCCTATCAGGGAACTAGGGTTACATACGTAACCGAGACGTTCAGGTCCGCATGACAGCTTTCACGTTAGCAAATTTTTTTATGTGAACTGTGCCCCGTTTTGAACTAAACTGCCAGTGTGAAAGAACCCTAAGACACGTTTATAAAAGGTACTTAAATGCCCTAATTCAACTAAGGTCTAATCCTGGCTTAATCTAAGCTTTGTCTGAAACCAGGCCAGAGTGTTCTATCAGTTTTATTTATCTTATAAACTCCAATGTAATTTTAAGTTTACTTCTGGTTTCATTCAATACACATAGATTACCTACATTTTCAAAGCCAGTTAACAGTTAAAAAAAAAAATAGGTAGGCATTTTCAAAATGTAATAATTTAGCACTGTAAATTAAAATTAAAATCCAATTCTTGAACAAAGATCAACTCAAGTGTCGTTCACTTACCTATAATTGACAGGCCAGCGAACCATCCACATGCGGTGGTAGGACAGGGAGGTGACTGAGAAACAGGTGACCAGGGTAAGGGTGTAGAAGGTGGAGACAAAGACCTTGCAGAGTCCTTCGTTCCACTCATAGTTGGAGTGTTGTCGGCGTAGCTGAATGACACAGTACATGGTGATGGGGATGCCCATGTTGAGAATGTGCGTGCCAGCCAGTGTGCAGATGAGGAATTCCAGTGGCTTCCACTTCTTCTGCTTAGCGCTCACACTCAGGATTCCCCAGGCATTGGCCAGGATGGACACTCCCGAGCAGACCAGCCAGGCCAGTGCATTAGTGCTGATGACCTCATCGTTCATGATGGAGCAGCCTGCTGGTGAGAGCCGGTGGGGGGTGGAATGGTGAAAGGTATGGGAGCAGCCGCTGACAGAGGCAGGTGCCAGGCCCGAACAGGCATTCCTACAGGGACGGGCAGTCCTTCCTCTGGATGTGCTGAGAGGATAGGGCGAGGGGCATAGCAGCTTGAAGAGGCACTGGGGTCGGGCAGAGAAGGAGAACGTGCACTGAGAGCCAGTCCAGTGCTGTAACAATCCTACAAAAGAAAAGACAAGACAGGTCTTGAAAAGACAAATTAGACAAGAATGGAGCGACACAAAGAGACAGAGAAGATGGAGGCATTCAATTGAACTAGATTTAGGCTTTCTACACCTATTGACCAATAATTTCCTATGACTTTTCCAGTCATTCATGGTTTTTACAATTCTTTCATAGAGATTGCTGGGCCAGATAACATTTGTATTTCAGTAACACAGTGGTTCTCAATTCCAGTTCTGGCGACCCCCCTTTATGCACATTATGAGTCCGAAAACTTAAAAATGCTGCTTTCGGAGGATGCATTGCAAGGTAGAAATCTAACCAATCAGCATGAGCAGAGGCCTATAAATCATCTATGTTCCTCGATATTTTTTTTCTGCATCCCTCCTCCACCCCGTCTCCTCACAAGGACATACACTTGATCAAGTGTTATCGCATGGTTTTTCCGTCTGTGACCTTGAGGTGTGTGAAAATGGTTTCTCTGATCATAAGACTTATGTTTACTGTTCCTTGTGTATCTAATGCTTCTAATCCTATATGCTCGCCGGTCTCTGCTTATTACTTCTACCCCCAGAAATGCCGTTTCATTAGCGTTCTGTGAAGCCACTCTATCTATGGAGTGCTGAGGAGCTCCTAAATAAGGGTTAATTCCATCTGTGTAAATATCTTATACTCAGTGGCACCTTTAAAGACTCTACAGCATAAACCCAGGTCTGAGCCCTGGTTAGATGACACCATACGCTCTCTTAGGCTAAATGAAAAAAGGACAAGCTCCAGGTCTCTTTTGACATGCTAAGAGATTTGTTATCCCTATATCAGAGAGCAGTGTAAGCTGCGAAATCAAGGTATTTTTTCAGAAATCATAACATAGAACTGTCACTGACCGAAAACTCTTTTCAATATCATTAATGCTACTATTAACCCTTTTGTCTAATTGTTCCCTGATGTGTCCTCATCTATGTGTGAAGACTTTCTTAAATTCTTTGTCAACAAAATAAGGGATATAAGATTGGGGATGATTCCCTTTTCCTCTGATCCCTCTACTTGCCCTATTTGCACTGCTGTTTTAGTCATTTTAAACCCATTTCTGGCACTTATCTTCAAGAAATAGTAGATCAGCTTAAGCCTTCGCGCTCCTCTATTTATATTATTGCTCCATATTTCCTTAAACAAATGTTTTATGTAGTTGGTCCTTATCTCCTGATTATGAATGAATGAATGAATGAATGAATGAATGAATGAGGCATTTATATAGCGCTTTCATATGTACTACTGTACACCCAAAGAGCTTTACAATCATATCAGGGGTTCTCTCCTTAACCAGCACCAGTGTGCAGCATCCACTTGGATGATGCGACGGCAGCCACAGTACAACGGCGCCAGTGCGCTCACCACACACCAGCTATAGTTGGAGAGGAGAGAGAGTGATAGAGCCAATTCAGTGGATGGGGATCATTAGGAGGCCATGATTGGCAGGGGCCAATGGGTGGAATGTGGCCAGGACACCGGGGTTACACCCCTACTCTTTTACGAGAAGTGCCATGGGATTTTAAATGACCACAGAGAGTCAGGGCCTCGGTTTAACGTCTCATCCGAAGGACGGTGCTCTTTGACAGTATAGTGTCCCCGTCACTATACTGGGGCGTTAGGACCCACACAGACCACAGGGTGAGCGCCCCCTGCTGGCCTCACTAACACCTCTTCCAGCAGCAACCTGGTTTTCTCAGGAGGTCTCCCATCCAGGTACTAACCAGGCTCAGCCCTGCTTAGCTTCAGTGGGCAACCAGTCTTGGGCTACAGGGTGATATGGCTGCTGGATTATGATAAATAGCTGTTTAGAAACTGGTATTGTACCTGTTTTTTTTAAAACATGCAACAGTCTACCTCTTGCTTAAAAAACAGAACCTAGACCCCACAGTGTTAGCCAACTTTAGACCCATCTCCAATTTGTCCTTTATCACAAGGATTTTGGAGAAAACAATCCTCCAACAATTGCAAAGTTTTTAGATGATAATATGATTTTTCAATCTGGTTTTAGAAAACATCACTCTACTGAGACCGTACTTTTGAATGTTTTAAATTATTTCCTAGTAACTTGTGATTCTGGCAAATACAAAGTTCTGTAATGAAACTCTCCTTAACTCAAATGCTTGCAATCATATCATTCTCTATAGGGCACAGCTGATTGGCTCCTGCTGTATCAGAAGGATCTTACTCAACCTTCAAATACTTATTTAGCTTTTGCCTTAGCAGTGCAGCGTGCTGCGTTCTTGTGCAGCAGCAGGTGTCTTACTTGCTCACAGCAGCGTGTCATGTACGTATTGCCAGTAGCAAGTCCCGTACTTGCTCTGCAGCAGCAGTAATAACAGCAGAAGCAGCGTAGCAGATCTATTTTGCAAAGACCAATATATAAACATTGTCATACCCATTACCATGCCAAATACTCTGAGAGTTGTCATGACAGAACTATGCTGTGCTTGTGCTCTTAGATTTAAATGCTCTATTCGATACAGTGGACCACACTGTTCTTATTACCCGCTTGGAGCACTGTGCAGGCATTAAAGGTAGTGCCCTGGATTAGTTTAAATCTTATTTTACCAACAGAAGTTTATCAGTTAACATTGGAGAACACTTTTCTAGTGATGCTCTTTTATCTTGTGGGGTTCCCCAGTGATTCATTTTGGCTCCCATTCCTTTTTCTTTATATATGCTCGCACTTGGATCTATTTTTAGAAAATATGGGCGGTCATTCCATTGTTATGCTGTTGACACCCAAATGTATTTGCCTTTAAAACAAAATGTGGATGGTCTGGACACTCTCATGGCCTGTTTGACAGATGTAAAGGCCTGGTTGTCTCTAAACTTCTTGAATTTTAATGAGAGTAAAACAGAAATTATTGTATTCAGACCTTCAGATCCACTTAATGCTCCCAAAATAAACCTTGGTGGGCTGTTTTCTTGTGTGAAACCATGGGTTAAGTCAAGTCAAGTCAAGTCACCTTTATTTGTATAGCGCTTTTTACAATACAGATTGTATCATAGCAGCTTCACAGTGAAAACATGAAATTAATATAACAAGTTTGTTTCTAGAAGAAAATTGCGTCATCGTCCACCTGAAGTAAGGCAGATCAATAATATTAAAAATATTTTAAAATGTGTGTTAAAAATGTGTGTTGTTTTTGATGAATCTCTGAAATTTGATAAGCAGATAAACTCGTGGTCAAGTAAAGCTTTTTTCAGCTTTGAATGTTAACAAATGTAAAGTCATTTGTTTCTTTCTTTTTTTTTTTAAGTAATCGATTTCAGTCATTACTAGAGTAATCATGTTTTTCACTTTAGAATACTGATCCAAATAATTAGTAATTCCTTCTAAAGGATTTGGTAATACATGAGTCATTATTAATGGGCTACCTTTACTTTAGAATTAATTATACATTATGCATTATTCACATTAATTATTAACCTAAATATAGTAGTTCTTAGTAGTTCTCTGCGAGGTATAACAAATAGTAGTTACTAATTAGTGAATAGTGAACTACCACATTCAACTGAGAACTATTACTTACTAATTTGTAAGCAAAATTTCTTGTTAGTTAACAGTAGTTACTAGAATGTTAATAGTGCGTTACTCATTTGTTCCTGTGTAGTTTTTCATTAATGACAGATTCTAAAGTGTTACCGTCCACCAATGGAGTAGTTTTCAAATATTGGAATACAAAAGAGGAATAAACATTAATTATCTAATTTATTCTGTAATCATCCATCTCAAATGGCAAGGCACCACAATATGACTGATATTGGTGAGGATCACATTCAATTGAACAAACTGATAATATAGGAATAACATAGCAATTCACAGCTTTTTCCTTCTCTTTGCCCTTACCAAATCTGATAAGCACAAATCCATCTGCTTTTGTTGTGTCAATACAGAAGCAGCAAGCAATAATGACAACTGGGAATTTTTTTTTTTATGTTTGTTTTTGCCAAAAGATGCCTGTGACAAAGCCAATATCATGCCAATGTTTATGTATTATGAAGGGTAGAGTGGATTAAACATAAGAGGCTTTCACACCTTTCACACCAGTTCTAGGAACTTAGTTATAGGAACCAGCCACTAGGGTGTTTCCCAGAGAACTTAATGTTCCCGTAGGGCCATTTTGTGAAACTCTGAAGTGACAAAAGCCGCAGTTGTTGTTCAAGTTCAAGTTCAAGTTCATTTTATTTATATAGCACATTTTATAGCAGCCACTGACTGACCAAAGTGCTTCACAGAACTACAAAATTAAAAGACACCAACACCATGCGTAGTAGCACATCATAGAACAGTACAACAGGTTAAGAACAGCTTAAAACGGGAGACCTTCAAGAAGTCTCAGAGACTATCAGTAGTAGAAAATAAAACAGAGAAGACAGTAACAGGTTTTAAACTAGTATCATACTCGAAGGAGAGAAATATAGAATAGACAAAAAAAAAAAAAAAAAAAAAAAAAAATTTTTTATAAATATATCTAAATATACACCCATATATATAGATACATGCACACACATATATGTACACATATACACATATATATACCTGTACATGCACCTTATTTGTAGGCCAAAGAGAACAAGTGCGTTTTTAAAAGTGACTTAAAAAAAATCACAGAAGGGGCTATCCGAACGTCCAAGGGCAAATTGTTCCACAGCCGAGGCCCAACCACAGAAAAGGCTCGCTCCCCTCTACGCTTAAGTCTGCATTGAGGGACTTGTAACAGATTTTTTCCACCTGATCTCAGACTTCTTGACGGCGTGTAAGGTTGAAGCAGTTCAGTTAGGTAGCTAGGCGCTTGGTTGCATAGAGCTTTGTACACAAATAACAGGATTTTAAACTCAGTTCTGAAATGAATGGGCAACCAGTGAAGGGACCTCAGAATTGGGGTGATGTGGTCACTTTTACGACTATTAGTGAGGAATCTTGCAGCGGCATTTTGCACCAGTTGAAGAAGAGCTGTTTGC